GACCACTGTAGCATGGCCCAGAACGCCCCGAACACAAGCGGCTCCGAAGCAACACGAGATGGTGATCACCTGGTTCGGGCCAAAGATGACGCAAGACGAGATCATCGGTCGAGATAGAACTCCTATAGAGTGCACGACCTCCATCCACCCTAAGGAGTGACACGCGGCAGATAAGCAACGAACGATCAGATCGCGTCAAAGCCGCTTCTTTTTGCAAACGTTTAGTCTTTCCTCCAAAGCTCCAAAGGTCCAAAAGGATTAGAGAGCCCCCCCCAAGCCCCGCCTCAGCGTTGCCAGGACACACGAGCTGAGTCTTCACGGGCAGCTTGTCCCTGAGGTGGGTGGCGGCCAAATATTCATATGTAACTATATTATATGGTATATCGTGGGTGTGTATTTTGTAACGCAAACCCCCAACCAATTGGTTTTGGCATATCGGCCGCTTCAAGAAATCCACGAGTTCAGTCCGTGGCAAGGTGGGACAATCCACTTGAAATCACCACACCAACTCGCGATCCAGGGTTCGCCTCTCACGCCCTTCCACTAAGAGTGGGGTACTAGAGAGTAGGTATGTACGACACAAATCACAATGTACACAAAGAAAAGTGTATCACACCAAAATCCCGCACCGGTGTAAGACACAGTGAGGATGGGTGACATGTTAAAAATGAATTGCACCAGCCACATATGCAAGCATCTAATTCGGAACGTCAATATCAGCGAGATTATGCTTCAAGCGAAGGCATTTCTTAAGCTTTTGATAGAGGTTATGTCTCTTTCGGTACGTAATATCAGAGTAAGGCGGATTGGGACAAAGTTCATCGGAAGCACCCGCACATTGAGTGGATACGATTGGTTCGGCATGGACGAATAGGAATTCAAGTTCGCTATCAGCAGATCAGCAAATGGTAAGTTCGGACGCGCAGAAATGCCCCCTACAAGACTGCGGTGGTACCCCAGTCGTATCAAAGAGCTCGCATTAGTTTTCTTATATCGGGGGTAAAACTCGCACTGGAGGGTGTTTTCTAGGTAACGCACAACAGAGCGAAGAACAGAGGCTTGATGCCATAAGCTTCTTTTTTCCTGAGGTTGGATTTGAGCTTCGGGTGAGTCAAAATCATATGGCAAAGGCAATTGTTCGGTCTTCGACGGAATCCAAATAGGCAGAAAATGTCCTGTAAAGATCCACTTGAAATCACCCAAACCATAAAGGGATTCAATTCACTTGTTTCAAGAATCTGTTTCTTCACCTTGAAGGAGTGGGATTCCAACCTGATAGCCATCTTGGGTGAACTCAAAACTCCAAAAGGACCACAACCCTCCCAGCCCCCGCCCAGCAAGTCCATCCCGTGCCAGGCGCCCCACCCGAGCCGGTTGATCACGGCCATGTTCTGCTTCGAGAGCTCCCGCGTAGGTGCTGAGCGCTGGGCACGATTGGTGACCACACATGCCACACACTGCCCCGACTACTCCCCCTTCAAGGTCCTATAGGAAGACCCCTAAGAGCCTAAGACCCCTAGGCCCTATAGGAGCACTTTTGTGGGGGCCATAGTGACTGAGGGTATGGTCAAAACCCGTACACGGGTACAGTGGTCAATTGGTCAATCAGTGTCAGTCCAAGACTTCCACTAGTTGTTACCCTTTAATGTAGACTCCTGATTATATAATGAGGTTTTACAGTCCCGAATGAGGGGGTGATGAAATCAAGGTTCTACCTTTACCCAGCTGGGAACCAGGAGACTGGAGACTGTATCCCCCAGGATCTGCTGCAATCTCTAGAAACCCTCTCACCTCCCCCCAAAAAAAGAAAAAAAATGTCTGAGATCTGAGATCAGTCAAGAGTCAACCTTGCAATGCTGGGCCTTGCTGGGTCAACATGTCTGAGATCGTCCAAAATGTCTCACTTTGACCCACCCAACTCGCTCCATCCCAGGCACAAATCACCACCGCCTGAGGCCACTCCTCCTGGCGACGTCGTGCGGCCCGAGGCGAAAAGCACCGGTGGGATCACCGACCGCACCGGTGGTTGGCCCTTGGTCGATGGTGGGCATCCAGGAGGTACAGTCCTGCAGTGAATGGGAAAAGCACTTGATAGACTTGATAAAAGCTAGTCAGCTAGTCAGCTAGTCCGTGCCTTATGTGGATAAAGACTGGGGGATAGATGGGGGGCATCCTAACAAACATCCTTTACTACCTCTCGCGCTCGGACGTCTCCTGTGTGAAACACGAGTGGAGCGTGTTGCTCTACCTCTGACAGAGACAACTACAAAACATGCAAGTGAGAAGATCAAAAGTCAGCAAGAGGGATCCTCCGAGAATCCAATGTTCTACCAGCACCGGCAGCAAAAAGTCGTGCAACCAACAATCTCGCACTGTCCGAGAAAAATGGTCTTGCACCACGAAATACAGCCTTGAGGTAAGACCCGCCAACACGAGCGTGGTTTCCGGCGGTTTGCCAAAGGATGCTCGGAGATCAATGGAGCGTTTTGGAAACTCCTACTTTCAACCAGTCCACAGGGCGCTCACCATCCGGCCCACCAACTCAAAAAGGAACTTCAGAGTTGCTCCGCTTACCCCAACTCCCCCCCCCCCCCCCCCCCCCCCCCCCCCCCCCCCAACCTGCGGCGGTTTGGCCGCCGAACGCACAAGCCATACGCACGAAGGGCGTGCGCCAACGCACTGCGCGGCCCACGCCATGCTGCGCCTCCACCTGCAACACGGAAAGCACCGCCAGCACGAAGGCCGCCGTCTTCCCCGAGCCATTCTGCGCCTTCGAGCATGCGCTTCACCCCACCACACACCGACTCTGCCCGAGATCGGGGGGAGGGGAGGCGTTTCGTCTGAAATCCTGATGTGCTTCGGGGTGCAAAAGACTTCTTTTGGAGGAACACCAAATCGAGGTCCAAAAAAACGAAAGTGTGGTCCAAAACATTCTTACAGGGAATCTGTTCGGGTGACACCATAGGTAGCTTCAAGTCAAGATGCTTCGAGATGTCCCAATCTAGACTGGCAACAAAAGGAATTTTGCACTCGGTGTACTTTGGTTTGTGTGGAATTCTTGAAACTCTGATGCTAAGGCATGTCCTGCCAAGCCTCAATGACAGTTTTGATGGGAATGTTGACTTCAACATAGGTATCAAAATCGGTACAATATCCAAAAATTGCTAACCCTTGATCTTCTCCAGTGCTCATACAAGCCTTTAGTTGGTGTTTCTGGGAAACCCTGGACTGATTCCTCTGTCCTTCTGAAGAAAAGTTGACTAAACCAGCTGGGGCCACAAAATCTTCGTCTTCAACCAGCAACTCCTCCAGACTAGCAGCACAAACCGCAAGATGTCTAGATGGGGATCCACATCAACCACCCTTTGCAGATCATACCATCTACTCTCAATCCACTCAGTCCGGCCTGCGCCATCAGGCTCTGGCCCGGCTCCCCGGGCCCCTTCGCGGCGATGCTCGGCAGCGCCGCGGCCTGACGGACGGCACGGGCAGTGTTGTTGCCCACCTGTGTCAGGCGGTGTTACACCCCCTATGAATATGCAAATCCTCAAGAAAACAACCACAAAGCACCAGAAACCTGGATCAAACTTGAGCACAACGAGTTACATAATCCGTGTTCCGAATTGGATGGACACCCAGCTTTCCCAATTCCAGAGGGAAACGGGGGAAATTGGTACATAGATAAATACCGATGTGTTTCTTCACAACTCCACACAATGCCCAAAAAGGATTTGGCCTACACATCCTTTACCCAAAGGGTTGGGCACATCCCATCCACCGCTCCACCGCACCATGCCACCCCGCCTGGATCTTCGAAGGAGACACGAAGCCCGCGGCATAGATCCCCTCGGCGGCCGCATGGCGACGGACCACGGAGAAGCTCCGCCGCAGTCGGACGAACTCGATCGGAGGGCGAACGGAGCCGAGTGAATGCTTCACTTCACAGGAGGAACGTCTACTCCGGCCCCGGCGCTATCTCGATGGACTTCAGTGCAAAAACCTGCCCAAGCTGTCTTACCTCCGATCAAAGTCACAGAACCCCACCGGCGCCCGGGACTCCACGCGTCCAACAGCGCTGGGCTAAAGCCGAAGTCTTCGAAGCTGCCGGAAGTGGCGGGGGCGGAAGACGCCGGACCGCTACGCTGCGCTCCGGACCGCTAGGTGTGCTTCTGGTCCTTCTTAAAATAGATTGGAATAGAAAAGGACGCTTCAAAGAGAAGTGATCTGGTGTTTTGTTGGCTCCAGTCATTCCATGTTCAATCATCTACTCAAGAGCCCCACAGTCATAAACCCATGCCGCTTACCAGCCTGTAAGCCCCGCTCCCCCCTGACATCACCCCACACCTGCTGGTCTGCGACAAGACCATGGTCTCAGGTGCCTCCTGAAGACACAGAAGTTTGGAATCTACCCCCAGAAAACTCCCCAAAACTATCCAAAACTGACTGGCGCGGTGCTTAGTAGGAGCTGTACGGAATAAGGAAAGGGGAAGGACTCCCGTACATATAGAGATTCCGGAAAGGATGTCTGAACGCACGACTCCCGTACCGTGGGCGCGGACATCCGGACGGGCCGCAGTCCCAATTGTCTTGGACGAATTGCACGATGGCATCTGCCTGCCCGAACGGTCGGAAGAGAAAAATGACCAAACGATCAGTCCAAAGGTCCCCTCAACAAAAAGATCTTAACAAGCCTGCCGGAATCAAGCTCGTGAATGGGTGTGCCGGCCTTCAAACCTTGATTGAAGGATTGCCATCACTCCAGGCGGGGCAAAGTGCCTTTCTAACTTCACCCAGTGCCCTTCTAGCTTCACCATGTGGCTCCCTCTTTCGGACAATTCTTTGGGCGTTCATCCTTTGCCCTAGCGGGGCACTGAAAGGTCAAAGAAAATGGATCTCAAGTTGAGCTAGCTAGCCCTACCAAGTCACATTGTCCACCCTCATGTCATGGTGCAATTCAGAACATCTAATCTACGTAAGCACCCCCGTTCGGCTGCTCCATTTTACTCCTCAGGCAATGGAAGTGGGTTGGCCTCCAAAGCTTTGGTGACTTCACGCTCGAGAAGTACAGATTGATCCTCCTCCGATCTGGCTCGCCGCCAGTCCCAATACTCCAGCTTCACCATGCGATAGCCTTTGCCCTCCAGCAGTCGGTGCTTTAAGTGCCGCGCGGTGGGCCAGCTAATAATCTCCAGGTCCAGAGCAATGCCAAGCTTTTCGTCCAACATGTCGACCCTGTAGGGTGTACAAACTCCATTCCTTTGCATCTTCAGTCGCCACTTGAGACCCTTGCTAGAGCCTTGCAGCTGATCAAAGCGCATCATCACCTCGTTGTGCAGTCTGGACGACTCCAAGCGATCCATTTCGAAGCGGTCTGCCTCATCACAGGCGGCCCTCCAAGTGGAGGGCACTTGGATCTTCAAGTGCTGATATTCCAAGTCCAGGGCGCAAATCACATCGAAGAACTTCATGAGCGGCGTCCGGTTCTGCGGCACCTTCCTGGATGTTCGGCGTCCGCTATTGGTGGTCACCGAATATTGAAACATGGCACACCCAGGTCGGCTGGTACCCTTGGTTCCCAGCTGGGCTGGATGTGAAACCTCCCTCAAGCCACCGATCCTCTGGAGACGTGGGCTTCTGACATCCTTGCAACCTTACTAGTAGGACCTTTCTCACCCACACCTCATCCACATATTTTCACCCAGGAAGGGCTGCTGGACTTTCTGATGACAAGAACCTTCCGCCGGTCGACCTTTCGCAGCCCGTCGACCTTTCGCAGCCGTCGTCCGCCAGCCGTACCGCAGCGGGGTCCTTTTGAAGGTCTCTTCGAGGGCCGCCCGGAAGTCCTTCTCAAAGTCCTCCACCAAATCCATCGCCGCCAGCGACCAAGCGTAGTCAATCAAGGAGCCCCCACTCATTTGGGGGATGCCGCCCTGGAGGTGACGGCAGCAACGGAGCAGCAACGGAACAGCCCAAAAAATAGCAGGGAGATCAGGCAGAACCCCAATGATTGTGGTCATATCCTGCATTGTATAGTCCCATGATGAGTCGGATGCACACGCAAAATAATACCCAAACAGTCAAGTTTGAGTCTGTCCGGTCATGTTCTTCTACTTCAAGCCTCCCTCCAACGTCCTCCAACTTCTTTCGGCCGCCCCACCCGCGGGCTTCTTGCGGAACCATCTTCCCCAAAAGACCCACCCCGCGAACTCACGCACCTCTTTCGCGCCAAAACCGCGCAACACCCCGCCTCGCTGTCCACGTATTGCGCCGCCAGGGTCCGACAGGTCTCCAGCTGGTGGGTGGCCTTCACCATGGACAGCGCGAAGAGGAACTCCGAGATCTGTGAGCCCCGCAGCCTGTGCAGCTCCGGTCGCATGGCCTGGAGAGCAGCGGAGGAGAGCGGAAGGCCAAGAGGGAGGGCCCGAGCTGGAAGCCCCTGGTAGAGTTATGCATCTCAACCACCAGCGCTGGACCTATCTCAACTCCACTTTCATAGCAAAGTCATAACCCACCCAAGCCAAAGCCAGCTTCACCAGCCCAAGGTGCATCCACAAGCTCATCGACGTTGCTCTGCGCCAGAAACCTTAACCGCGCCAAGGCGTAGCTCATGCGTGCCAGCTCCCGTGCAGTGAACTGCCGCAGATTTTCAAAGGCCAAGCCACACAAGCGCCGCAGCAAGAAGCCCCGCGCCAGGCCCAAGCGCGACAACACACTGAGAGCTTCCACCAGCCTGGTGCAGGATGGGGGGGCAGGTCCAGTCCATCCGGGGGTCAAAAACCGATCCCAAAAACGTTGGACAGCTTTCTTGGGAGCTCTTTTGCTGAACCCGGCACTGAACAAGAAAGCTCAGACTGGGTCAGCAACATTGTGTAATCTCACGCGTAGTATGCCCTGAGGGTTCTAAAATCGCACATGTCACCAGAGTTACTATCATGTTACTACATGTCACCATCCTCATTGGCGGAAACGTCTGATGAGAGACAGGGTGGCCTCTCCCAAAACAACCACTGGCAGCATGATGTTGGGGGCATCTGAGTCATCAACCTTCGACCCCCATTTGGGGGGACGCACCGAAACTGTGAAGCCAAACAACCTCATCAAGCATGGGACGACTTTTCCACCACACACCACACGAAAAACGATGGTCCCAGAACTCTTCTGCCACAGAAGAATTCACAACTGGCAAAGCAAAACACAAAGTCCTTCCAAAATCGAGCCCATGGACTTACTCAATCGGGTGAGGTCCTTGATCAACGCCCAGACTCTTCCCAGATGCCGAGCGGCTCGTCGGGAACGAATTGATCCACCTCGTCGGTCATCCGCTCCACCAGCAAGTCCACCAGCTGCCGATCAAAGACGCCCCACCTCCGGAAGGCTTCCAAAAGCATGTTGCAGTGCCTTATTGGGATGAGGAGAAGAGACGGAGCCTTTCACATTGGCGTCGTATCTAAAGGCGCCGGCTACTGCGTTGGTACTTAGCCGCAGTGGCGCAGAAGGGGGGTGGAAGGGTGGCCGAGAAGAAGGCCCAAAGAAAGAACGACCATGGGGAGTGTGACCACCCAAAAGCCAAGCCAAAAGGATTTCTATAAAAATAGTAATAGTAATAATATAGATAATATAGAAAAAAAGAGCTTCCTGGAACCCGAAAGACCTCCGTTAAGTATTGTCTTAAAGTGGTGACACGGCGCTATAGTAGTTAATATTCTTTCCACAAAAGCATCAGAAGCTCTTCGAAAACCACCAAGAGAAGCTGTTGGAGATCCCAAGGCCAATCGAACAACAAAGAAGAAAAAGAAACAAACTCCTCCACATCTCCGTTGCTTGGGCTCCAGGTCGTCAATGAGCTTCAAGACCTCATTCCGGATGAACTCCACCGTTTCCACGTCCCGAATCCGCTTGGAGAGGCTGATGGCCACCGTGGCCAGGTTCCTGGCCGTGAAGCTGTCCTCGCGCTGGCAGACCACCTCCGCCAGGCGCGAGGCCAGGTCCACGAGCTCGGGCGTGGAGTTTTGAAACCTGCGACGAGCAGGACGAGCTCGGAGGGCAGCGGTAGCGGGGGGGGAGGAGGACGAGCTGCTGGTCACCCGGGCTGAGGGGCCAGGGAACTGGGACCCAAGCGTTCAGAACAAGGTTCTCTTCCTGTTTTGGAGGCTTGAGGAACTCCGTCGACAGAAGAAAGACCTATAGTGTGACCCAGCATTCAGGACACATGGCCCCGTGGCTCACATAGATGCACTCTGCAAAATGTTGGAGTGGATCAAAAACACGTCTCCAAGAGATGCAAGTGCAGCATCTTCCAAATGTCTGATCTGGGACCAGGAAAGTGGACGATTGACTGGTCACGAGTCTGGTGGCCAATGGAGGCCATCTGTCGATCTGGCGTTTCTGCAGATGCCCCCAAAAAATGAATCGACCGGCCACAGCCATCTCCACAATCTTTCGACCGGCCGTCTCTGTCAAAACCTGGTGAAATCTCCATCCCCAAAAACATCTACTGGTGAAGAATGCTGACCCATATGATGTTGCAGGTCGTTGCCCCGGTCCACTTATGGAAAATAACAAAAGGCCAGATCCTCAGATCCTTGTCCCGCTCGGCTCGGCTCGGTCACCCGCCTCCCCGAGCTGTCCGAGATCTTCGACAGCAGCGTGGCGTCGCACTCCTCCAAGCGGGAGGTCAAGCCGCTGAGCAGCGCGTGGAAGCGCGCGTCCTCCACGATCTGCGCGTTGGTGCGGTGGCCTCCGCGCTGGCTGAAGCGGCTCAGATGGCGTAAGGCGGCCTCGAAGGTGTTGAGGTCTGAGTCGGGATGTCGATCCATAAAGGACAAGACCTTCCAGGGATGGGTCAGAGTCATCGGTATCGGCACAGACTTGAACTAGATAGATCTTGTGGCCTACCTGCTGTAGTCAAGAGGTTGTGGAAGGACCATGGAGCAAGAGTCACCCCAACATGCCACCTTGACATGACAATTGTGATCCCACTCAAGTCAGGCAAGGTCAGAAAACTGCGCAAACAACACATGCTACGCTGCATCACAAAGCCACAGGTCTCTTGAAAGAAGCTTGAAAGATCTTGAAAGCCTTGTTAAGCAAACTGCCTCAGGGGATCGCTTTGGAGATTCTCCCCACCTCCTGCGGCTCTGTCAAGGTGTACACCGAGACCCTTCGGTCGATGCTGTCCACATAGCATCGGACACCGCTGCGCTGGAGCGCGGCGCGCGCTGCGCCGGGCCGGCAGTGGATCCACCGCGGGCGCGCCAGCTGCCGAAGTAAGGGCTGCATCAAGCGGTGCAATGACGCTCAAGCTAAGCAGCTTGAGCAGAGAGAGATTTCCATACGGATCGGTCCCTTTTTAACAAACAGTGCCTTTTGTTGAGATCTCCAAAATGCGGCCCAACTATCCTAAGTATATATTCAGTTTTTGTTTGCTGTGTATGTGTCCTTTCTCGTGTAGGTTACCCAACTGTCCTTGCAGTCTGCACATGGCATCTTTAGTCTGTACCCCAAAACTCCTCCATTTCTCCTGTGTGGCCATACTTTGTCACCTGACAAAGGGCACCTAAACCATCACTTATAAAACCGGCACGCGTGCCTCACCAGTCAAGCCGCTGCTCTTGCCTGTGCCATCGAGAGCACTCTTCAGTCATGCTCGGACACAAACAAGTTATCATCTCTCAAGAGCGTCCACGTGTCTGCGGAAGTCCAAGACCATGCTAAAATGGGAACGATCTGACTGACTGTCATGTAAAAGCATCTTTAGTAAAACAATGGTTGTTCGGTCTCTCGACGATTCAATGAATGGTGCTTCGACGGACTATCCTGGGTCTGTTTATTATACAACTCTCAAGAACCCCAGGTCAAAGAGGTCCCAAGGTTCATCGGATTCGACTTGGGCCAGACGGTTTTGGGGGTGGTTGCCACAAGTCAAGTCCACGCAGCCTTACATGCAGCCTTAAAGATTTATTTATGCCCAAACATGCAGCCTTACTTGTAGCCAAAACCCTATGCCAACTGTGTCATCTCCAGTTCGTTGCAGAGTGGATGGACAGGGCCCCTCTGACCTTCCTTCCCACTCCGAACCCGCACCTCGGGACTCGGGCCGCTCCTGTTGGGAGTTGGACGGACGACAGTGAGGCCCCCGTCCGTCCAACGAAGCAACCCAGCAAACTCGACGGCAGGGCTGATCCATATGAAATCCAAAAGAAAGGCATTTGAGAACACAACGCAAACTGCTTCGGTTTCACTTCCTGGAACGGTTTTTGAGCAAGGTACTTGGAGATGTTCAGATTGAAGCTGTGCGTTGCGTGTTCTGTCCCAAAGCAGTTCCTGTGGCATGAGCGGGAAACCGAGCCCTTGAATAAGACCAGGGAACCCAGGGGTTCTGGCCAGGTTCTGGGCCATTCCCTAGTGCGGAGGGCACCGCGGTCGGAAGGAAAGAAGTCCCAACTCCCGGACCATGCCTCAATGCGATCGGAACTTGAAATCACATGGAAAAAAACTTGGGATCGGCCTCAACAATGGCCCTCGGACGCCCAACAAGACTTACTCCCCGGAACAGGCCCACTGGAAGACTCTTTTCTACAAGCCGCAGCCGCAGCCGGGGCTTTCAGGTTCGGTCTCTTCCAGCGTATGACAAGTACGACCCGAAGAGACCCCAGTCATCCCAGTCATCCGTTGTCAGACCAAGAGACACACGGGTCTTCCGAGCGGGTCAAATCATCAGACCGACCGGTACGTTGAGCCTACTGTAGGTGTCGGTCGTTCGCTACATGGCAGGTGTTGCCCATTCCCCACATGTGTCATTCACATCTTCTCCTGCCAGGATGATGACCAAGACGCATCTTGGGTGCCCTCTTCACCCTGGCGCAGCGTTGTCGGACCGTTTTTGGGCGATGTGCGACAGCAAAAGCTCACAGGACAGCGGGTCATTGAACAGGATGCTCCACGAAGAAAATCCTCATCGACTGGTGGAGCGGGTGGCTCCCCAAAAACTCTGGCAAGGGATGTGTGCTACTTGTTGGGCGATTTTGTGCACTTGTACTGGAAGTAGAGGTGCGCTACACAACTGCGCAAACCACGGACCCCTTCAAAGCATGGTCTGGCATCGATCTTGAAAAGAACTCAATGCTGAGTCATTGGGCTTGGTAAAGTCAACATTGTCCATCGACCTCCAAGTAAAGTAAAGGATGTGAGTTTCCAAATGTTGATTGTCCAATGACTCATCCAGGGCTTGGTAAAAGGTTCTCCCTCCTGGTCATTCACATCAAAATGGAAGACATCAACCTTCCAACACGATCACGTTCGGCCTGGCCGCCTGACCTTCACCTACATAGGAGGTGATCTTCGTTTCGTTCACTTCAATGAGAACTCAGCAGACTCCACCGTTTCCAAGACCCCCCGAGACCTCCCGACCACCCCCGGCCATCTGGGCCATCCATCGGCCCTGCCCTTGAAAACCCTTCGTCCAAACCTGCCAAGCGGAGCCTTCCTGAGTGCTGTCGGTGTGCTCCTCCGCTCGGTGGTCGCCACCGGGCGGCCATGGCGGTTCGAGGACCGACGTGACTCTCTGTGACAGCTCGGTCTTCAGCGAGACGGGCGGGAGCGTTCGGGAGGTTTTCGGTGCGTTCTTCTGTGTTTGGTTTGGACCAAGTTGACTCACCCAAAGCGCTGGCAGGACAGCTGTGTCAACTCAAGCTAATCGGACTCCTTCCAGGAAACGCCAGCATCCTCAGCGAAGGAGTCTCCAAGCACTGCAAAAAAAAGCGTGCAACGATGGCAGAAAGGATACTCAACCCCAGTGAGTGTCAGAATATGTTCTTTGGCCTCAAGAGATGTTCGTCAGCCTGGTCTGAGACCCGCAATATCCCCATATACCCGCAAAAACATACTGTGACATGCCAAACACTGATACAGTGCAGGATACCGTCGTTTTTCGCCGCCATAAGTGTTTGCCCCATCTCTCCAAGATGGCTGGCATGTACGGAACATCCACTTGTTTGCTGTGTACTTTCCTCTCCCAAAAATATCTGGGTTTTCTGAGAAATAGTCGACCGGCGCACCTGCAAGCAGGTAATTTAGTTCAAGAGGAATTCTTATGTCAGAAAAGCACTGGATTTCTTGTAGTTGAAGCTATGCGTTTCCAGAATCCAAGGTTTTCCTTTTTAACAAGACAAGCTGCCCAGTAATCCTGCTTCTGCTCAGCCTCAGAGTGGAGCACATGAAGACCATCAACTGCTTCACGGACCATGGTTGCCGTAGCTGGAGGCTGGTTCTATCAAAGCTTGTTCCACAACAAATACAAGAAGCATGAAGCTCTGGGGGGATAGCACCTTGGCACTCTGCACCTAGCTTCACATAGATCACGATAGCGCCTTGACAGCAGGAGACTTTGTTGGAAGAGAAACTCTGGAGCTCGGCTTCCACCAGCTGCTTCTGAAGCCCCAAGGACTCGATCGGAGGTTTGCTTTGCTACCCCCCCGCCGGCAGGTTCTACCCGTCCTCATCAGTCCGGCGGACCAAAGGATGCATGCATCTGGGACGCCCTGCCACCTCTCCCCCAGTGGCATAGCCATTGGCCACAGCGCCTGACGGAGTCAGGTGAACGAACTTGCTCGGCAGCAGGGTGGTTCTATGCAGTTGGGGGGAACAAGTGCAAAAAGGGAGAGTGGCAAGGATTGGTGGACAACAAAGTGTGGGTGGGTTCCTGGATGGCACCCTGCTGATTCTTGAAAAATGTTAGGTGGCAAAGTAACAGCTGACAAACAGCGGATGCACCTTCAGAATATATGGAGTTTTTTCATTCATAGATACGAGAACAAAGCCTTCCAAAATCGAACACCGCCTCTAAGGGCTGGAGATTTTAGTACAGTAGCACACAAAAAGTCGCAGGCCCAACTTCCTTGGGCGAGAAAAACACCACCTGCCAAAAGCTTCGGTGTGGTCGTCCACTCGAAAAAGAACCATCGCCCCTCACGGCCTGCGTCCGCCTGCAGTTCCGGGAGGGTTGGCGCTGGAAACAGAAAGGTCATCAAAACAGGAAGGTCGCTGCAAGCCCCATCATTCAATGGATAGAAGAAGTGAATCCCCTTCAAAACTGCAGCGGCTAGTTGCTAGCGCTTTTCATTAGGTGTCTATCCCTTCCGGGTCCACCAAAGGCCGGAACATTGCAGCATGGCAGCAAAAAAAAAAGGAACCTTCCCAACTGGTTGGGTGCTTTTGGGCCTCCTTGGGAAAGATTTCTCAAAGTCTTTCGCAGCTTCTGTTGACCCCCAAAATGACCTGGAACATCCATCAACATGCTGGACTTGGAAGGAAATTCCATGCTTCAACTGTGTGGCTTTCGGGGCTCAAGAAACCGGGCAAATCTCAGTTCCAGCCTTTAATGGGAAATCGAAGGATCACGGTCACATTCTTGAAGAACCCAAACCGCCAGCGCCCTCCCAGTCGGGCATAGCTCCCCCCTCTCCCCCACCCCAAAAGTAAAAAACAATCAATCATCGTCATCGTCCCATTTCTCCAGTGTTTGGGGCACCTCGACCTGAGCTTTCCACGTGCTCCAATCGTACCTGCCGCAAAAACGCTCGCCGACTGCCAGGAAGGAGTGATGTCGTTTCAGTGAAAAAAGAGAACACTCCTGAGTCCACTAGGACGCTTAAGAATCCAATTCCACCTCCAAATCATCCATACGCCGAAAAACACCAAAAGACCGGGCCACAGAAAACTTGGACTCAGGGTCCCTCACCTACCTCACCTCTCTTCCACCAACCTCACCACGCATCTCGGGTGTTTCACCCAATAAAAACCCACCCCGGCACCCCCCGGTGCGGCACGCGGTTCCGCCCTCGCCCACCGCATCGCTGTACCTCACCGGCCGGGGCGGCTGCCGGGTGGCGGAAGACGCCCGGCCGAGGCGCTAGGACGGTGAGGCGACCCATCAGAAATCGGGAGACCTAAACCAAGGCGCTTGAAAGGGTGATGTGGCGCAACCAACCGAGTTAGCAGCTAGCTGTAGGAACTCTGAATCTCAAAAAAAACAACATCTTGGGTCTATCCTACTGCCAGGAACAGTGGATGATCCTTAGCCTTAGGGCTTGTTCAAAAATCGTGAATCATCGTTTACCCACTGGTCATGTGACAGACCCTCACAAAATCCATGTTTGTCCAAGGGTCCTCACAAGCTTTGGGAATGGCCGTCGAACCGCACCTGTCTTCCGCGTTGAACCCTCCACACGAGACCTCCGGCGCACGACTCAAAGCCCGGCGGCATGGGCAAAGCTTCTTTCCCTTGGAGACGGGCGGTCCATCTGGTGTCCGTCCTTGCACAAAAATATCCCTTTGGCACAACAAACCTAAGAGACAGATGAAGTGGTTTGGACCAAAGTGTCCAAGTCAGACTGGACGACGTCAGGTTCCACTAAAATCGGGTCTGTGATCTAGACACCCGGCCCAGTAAATGGAATTTCATGTCCTCAGGCTTCAAAACGGGCCCCATTCTCACACACCACTGTTCCCGTGATGTGTGGATTGATAGTGAGACGTGCTGCATGCTGAAGAATCGAATGCAAATTAACGCCACTGTCTGATGATCGCGTAAGCGGTCAAAACCCGCTGGAAAGAGAAACAACCCCCGAGCCCCCAAATGCATTCCAAACTATGCTGGGAAATCGCCCGAATACGGCCCGAATACCACGAAAGTCCAAGCACGCCCACTCCACGGGTGGAGTGATGTGAGTTCAACAGTTGCTGCTGAAAGTGTCCATGTACAAGTTCACCAGATGCTGCGTCCCACCTTTCGCGTCCAAGCATCCCAAAGCTGTCGTCGCCATGGCCGGTTGTAAGGTGCCAATTGAACATTCAGAACTGTGGATCTACTCAAACTTCAGAACTTGGTGGTGATTCTATCATTCAATGTTGGAAAGCGGTCTCTGCACAAAAAAGACACACTCATCTGACAATATGTATGAACCTGTTGCGGATGATGCCTTTGGCGTCTGGATTGAAAAACCAAACTTGGGCATCGTGACACCCCTGGTTCCATCAATTGTGCCCATAGAATTGTGAAACGATGTCGATTGAAGAACTCTGGGGCGGTACAAAAAGGTCGGCAGAAACAAGGCCCTAAAGTGACACGTCTTCACGTCTGTTTCATGTCTTGGCACTGTTGGAACTGTCTTCGAACCGAGATGTGCATGGAGGTGCTCGGCAAAGGGTATGTTCTTATCACTCATGTGCAACAACAGCTGAAGGTGTTCCCAACATTTCGTTCTGACAAACATTGATGAGAGTCAAAGGACGTCATGTGGCAAACAAGATACATCCTTTCTGGCGGCCAAAACACACCCCAAAATCGTTTTCTGAAAAAGAAACTGATGAACGGGTTTCTCTCTCTTTTCACCTGTTTCTGTCTTTTTCCTTCCATTTTTTCGTGCCGTCACGTTCGCCTGTACGTATCGATGCCGTGTCGACTGTGCATCCGTTACTTACGCTACTGCTACTGTGCATCTTTTACTTATGCCTCTGCTGCTTACTTCCTTCATAGGATCTCTGACCACCATATAGTCAGACTACCATATGGTCAGCCATCGTTATTTTTTCTCCGGTTTGCGTGTTTTTTTCACGTGTTTTTTCTTGAGTCATGTTGACTTATTTTTGAATTAATTTTGCACTATTTTTTTCAGCACCACTGCCCTATTCGGGATGAGGAGTATTCGCTATTTTTTGCAGTCACAGGTTTCTATTTTCAGGACGATTGTTTGTTTTTGCACAAGTGAACTGCTATCGAAGAAGCGCTTTTCGTTGATGCGTGCGGACGCTTTGGATGAATGGGTGGGAGCAAGTCGCTAGGCAGGACAGTTTGCGTTCACCGCAATCATTTTATGTGAAGTAGGCGCTTGTTTGGCATGGAACGAAGAATGGATCTTGCCATGCAAAGGCATGGACGACAAACTTACAATGGTGTGTCTTTGCCACAATTCACATGTTTCGATCATATCTACTAGAGGGTATTAAGCACTAGTTAAAGAAGATAAAGAAGTAGGCATGCTCTGTACAGGGCCGAGTGCCCTTGCCATCATATTTGCAAGAGCGTATGACACTCCTTGATGGCTCACACACACAACAACGGAGCTGATACACATAGGTGTACATATATATACACACTGTATTAGTATATAGTAGTATATAATATGTGCAAACATGTTCAAACAGAGCTGATTCATCACTAATTAGTTTCAATCCTCTTTTCAGCGACACTTTGGGGAAACAGGACCGGTTTATTTCTTCCCTGAGTGTGAATGATGTGCCAGCGCCATGGATCATCGTGCTCCACAAGGTGATGCCACAGATACAGTGCAGCGTTTCGTGGGCATCTTGGCGCAAATGAAGCGCAGTCTCAGCTCATTCTTTATGGGGAGCAAAGTCTTTGCAAATAATTAGGTGCCGCTATTGTGCCCTATCAGGACCTGATAGTGCCTTTTTACGCTTCGAAGCAAACATTCGGTGTCCGTTGGGAGTGTGCAGGCTCTTGTATGAACAAACAACACAGAACACAAATCACATGGAGTTTGGTCTTTTGCAAGGATCCTGTGTCATGATTTGTTCCACAAATACATCGCATGAAATGAACAAGCCGCAAAACAAAGATTTGTACGCCATGACTGAATGCTATTCACTCCTAATTGAATCTATTTGGTGCCATTTCAATTTTCTGTGCATGGGCGCTGCATACAAACATGTCAGAGTCAGAAATGTCAATGGAAACTGCTACTGCTACTGACGCGCCACCGTGGAGCAGCTGGAGCTCAGAAAGCACCCGATGCAGTTCTGAACCTCTTGAGGACAGTTTGGTGAAGGGCCATAGACTACAGTAACTAGAGATGATTCAGTCACAGGAGAGGCACTATCACAATGACAGAACACTCTTGCTGCTGTGACCAAATAGTTTAGAATGCTGGGAGACATTGCTAGGACATCAAGTTGGACAAAACGATGCTGGCGAAGTCTGGCCGCGTAGTTCAGATTGCCTGGCAAACGCTGCATTCTACAATCCCTGAAAGTGAACTGGAGGCTGGTTCTCCCATCTTGACCCAGCTAAAAAGAAACCCCGCAGTGGACATAGGCCCACTAGAAACTGTGATGAGAAATGTTGTTTTCTTGATACGGAATGCATAACAACAACTAGCCACTAATAGGGCCGTGCTCAATCCTGTGAGTTCCTTAGTGTGAGGCATCTATGCTGTTTACCACCAGGAGGGTAAGCAGTGCATGTTCGGGCGCGCTGACAAGTGACATGGCCCTCTGTGTCATTGAGCGCACTATTAATCAGTCGAACGCCTGCAAGAAGAACGTGGAATTCAACCTGATCATGGTACAGGAAACTTGCTTCACTTAGGCTCATGTTGCACCAGCCTTTTATGTTGTTTTTACTGACTATTAAACACAAATTGGAAAGCGCTAAGTTTTGCCGAACGATTGGGAATATTGAGGGCTTTGTTTTGCACTGGACTTCCTAGGGTTGGGCGAACCATCAATCAATCAAGGAGATGAACCGCACTTGCCAGCAATTGATTCGAGACCACCTCAACTGGTGCAAGCTGGTTGTTGGGCGGCCGCTTGATGAACCCTGCATGTTTGACCAGGTGGAAGGCTGTGTTCCTGATGAACTACTCGAGGATTCTGACTCCTTTATGACCATGTTCAGCAAGGTAAACAAATGCCATTTGCGGAACTCTCTGTGGTGCAGGAACCATTGCAAGCGTTGTCCGGTTGTTGGAGCAGCTGCGGCCACAGACTACGACTGCGCTGGATTGCCATGTTGGGATTACTCAGCAGCAGGTTTGAGAAAGAAGGAAGAGGGAAGCACCAAGCGGGTCTTCATTGCCTATGCCAAACGGCATATCTGGCAACAAACACCTTTGCTCCTAATCGAGAATGTGAAGGACTGGAGACAAAACACAACAATAATATGCAACAATGTTGCAAAGTAATAAGCCCTAATAAGCTCTAGATGAAGAATTGAACAGTGATGGTGTGATGGGGGCAAGGTAACTTTAATCGCTAGCCAGGGTGTGACTTCACAAGTGTTTGAATGTTATGTTCAGCAAGCAGCAAGCATTTGTGCAGGGCCTTCGTCTTGAGATGATTCGATTTCTCTTTTCCCACCACTATGATATCTACATACTGGTTTGCGGCGCAGAAGATCAAGGGCACGATGGCTCAACGAGGAACAGGCTCTACATAGTTTTGGCCCACCGGAAACGAACACAGCGGCTCCATAACCCTTCAGATCTATATCGTCGAGTTTGCCAGGCCATCCGGGCTGTGATTTGCACAACTCCGGCTGACTACTGCATAGCTCCTCTGCTCGAAATCGGGCAGCATGCCAACACTCTTGCAGACAGTCGTGGAAAGCGCTACAGAGTTGCTCGTCCTTACTCAGCACGTGAGTTGTGCATTCAGTTTGTCAAAGGCCCCCCTTGACCAAACCAAAATAATTACTGTACCAAGCTTTCAACCATTTGCTGATCTTGCAACGCAAAGATCCTAAGGAAGGGCCAAATAGCTTTGAGAAGTTGCTGACTAAACGAGAAAGAGATTGCCTACAAGAGGCACAAGCAGAGTACAGCAAGCGCTTCAAAGCTGATCCATCAAGTGACAGGAACTTGGTGGTCTATTTGGGAGACAATTTTAGCAACCGCAAAACCTGGAGCGGCAGTAGCCGTCGGTTGCCGACCTTTCGGACCGGCGGTGGCATCACGTGGTGGTGCTCTGAAAGGAGGCCCATGACGCATCGTGAAAAACTGGCATCCTTGGCTTTCCTCGTATCACCCGAAGTAGCCTTGTCTATGGGCGTGCCGGAAATTCCAGTGAAAGATTGGAAACGTGCTGCTTCCGTAAGCGGGAACTCCATGAACTTTGCCAGTGTGGCAATTGCACAAATGATTGCCCTGGCATCATTTCGCAAGGTATAGTCAGTTTAGAAATTCATGAATCATGACAAATCAGCAGCAGCACTGCAAAGGCAAAATGGGTATTGGGCTGCAGAGTGGCATGTTTTTGTGAATTCCTATCAACTCTTCAGGAGGCCTTTATATTGGGCACTATTTGGAGCCATTGCATTGCAAGTGCAGCAATCTAGCATTTTCCAGGGTCTTTAATAACAAATTGACACGTGGGTTGATGTGACCATCTATTGATTTCTTCATAGTTCTTCCATGTTCTTCCCTGATTCTAGATCCTCCTTCGGACCCAATCCCAACGCACAAGAGCTTATTTGAATTCAAAGCCTTCACGGGGATGGTTTCTGTAGACAAGGGCAAAGGCCCTAATATGCACAAAGTGTGGCCACATGTCAAGCTTCAGCACACCAAACACAATTCATGCTTATAGACTGTGCAGTAGACACAGAGCAAGCATGATAAAAACCGGTTTGCAGTTTACGCTGTGCTTGTGATTGCGATGCGCATCAGATGTTATTTTGCGAAAATAGGAGCAAATCAGCTAAGATCACTGCTAAGATCCCACAGTGGGCGGAAAGCGTGTCTGCGCTTGTGCTTGCACCGTCTGTGCCGCGTGCCCCAACTGCGCCCTTTGCACCCCCTTGTACCGCTTGCACCGCTTGCACTGTTTGCGCCGTTTGATGCTTGCGCCGACTACCTCGCCTCCGACAGCCTTCAGCATGTGACTTCCTGGGCACATCGTGCACAATGAACGCGATAGCGGATCGTGGTAGGCGTGAGTGGTGAGTGATGCGCGCACGTGGTTGTATGCAAATTAGGCTCGTGGCATTCCGAAAATGGAGTTGTTGATCATTCAGTAAAACAATAGATTCCTCAAAGCTGACACGTTGAAAGACGCAGAAAATCCCAAACAGGCTGGAGAGGATCGCGGGATTTGAACCAATTGCTCATTATCGGGCCTTAGCGGGTGGAGTGGAAGAGGCGGATCCCTCTCGCAGTGTGAGCACTCCTATTTGCAATCAAATAGATGTTATTATTGTCGCAAATTAAAACATTCACAAACGACAAACGACAAGCCACATACAAAACGAAAACAAGCACAAGCCAAGCACAAGCCAGTATTTGCCACTGTGTTTTGTACGTTCCTCATGTGTTTGATTGGCTCTTTTTGCCGCTTTTTGCGAGCAGTTTGCATCGGAGACTTTAACCCCTGGTGACATGTGCGTTCTCTTTGCGTTTTCCTGTGTTTGGTTTATGTTTGCATTACGTGTTTTTTTTGTGATTCTTGTGTTGATTGCATCCTAAAAATTTTACGTATACTCCAATCCCTGTTTACTCTTTCTACAGAGTAAAGCCCTTTGGATTCTGATAAGCATGTAAGAATCTGTCCTGGTGCGCTCCTGGCCCGAACAATTTGAGAAGCCTTTGTATTTGTTTCTAGACACATCCAGCCACCTTGGCAAGCATGGGAGGGAAACGAAAGATTCCCGGAAGCCTTCGGGATGCTCCTGCTGCCTCTATCCAGAAATGGCTGGAGCATGCCGATGATGAGAATGCGAATTGCGAGACTACAAACAGCTTGGACAAGAATTCTTTGTGCACCCTGGCTTGCTTTATGTTGGGATGGCAGCCGGACGCTCCACTTCCAGGGTGCCACAGCCTGATTTGGTCATGTTCCCCCAAGAAAGAAAATGGCATCATGCAAAGGCTTACTGAGACAAACTTAGGTTGGGTAACCACACAACGGTGCGTGCTGAGGTGCTCTGAGGGAGAACTTCTGGCAGCACTTGGGCTAAACTTTCATCACACTTTTCCGAATCTTGTAGAGAAAAGCTAGCAATCACAAAAATAGACCTTATTGGAATCTGTTTGATCCTGATTAGTAAAAGGGATTTCCACCTTAGTAGTATTAAGATGTATTTTTAGCTATTTTGCTGAAAACACATTTGTTATTGGGGATCAGGAGCCTTCCTGGTCCACTACCTTGAACAGTTGCTTAGGAGCAATCTCTACATAAAGGGGTGATTAAATGATTAAGGAATTGATTGCTTTGGGAAGCTGCCATTGGCTTAGTAGTATTAGGATGTAATTGTAGTTCATGTTAATGCGGAACACACATGGCACAATTAAGGACCCTTAAAGCAATGCTTATTAATTGGGAATCAGGGGCCTTCCTAGACTACTACCTCAAGAATTTGTTTAGGTGCAACTTACACCAAGGATTGATTGAGGAATTGATGGCTTTTTGAAGCTGTCAGTTTTGAAGAAGAACTAGAGAAACCTATCGATACCAATAATACTCTCAGCAAACCAGGCAGCCAGTGGCTTAGTAGTATTAAGATGTATTTAAAAAAATATTTAGTATAAAAAACATGATAGAGGACCCTTCATGATTTTGAAAAAAACAACAGCATTATAGAGGACCCTATTAATTACTAATCAGGATCCAACATTGTTTTGGACTTTGCCCCATTTGAGGCTGCAGAGCGACAGTACTCGCAACGAGGAAGGCCTCTCGCCAAAACATGCTGGGGCATTCAGGAAGTGACCAGATTCATGCAGTCGCATGTGAAAGGGAAATCTGCTGATGACGATCTCGGAGCTCATGGGTGCATGTTTGCCGATGGCAGTCCGCAGAATCCTTCCCCAATGCCGCAATTCATCCTCATCAAAGAGAAGTGGGGCCCAGAACAAGTGGAGAAATATGAGCGTGTCAAGGTTGAACAAAGTCAGGCACGGCTTCACATAGCCCTTGTGTTTCTGCTGGATTTGACAATGTTTGAGGAACGTACTCTAAGATTAAACCTTGTTGAGAGAGGTTTTCCAGCACGCAGTCAAGAATCCCCGAAACCCCTGAAGGTTCCAGTCTTTCAAGACCCCACCATTTCCATGGAGGATTTGGAAGGGGTGGAGTTCCCACAGAATGGCTACACGTGTGAACAAGAACAGGACAAGTTTCTCATCCAGCATGCCGATCTACCTGGTTTGACAGTCCAGCCTTTTGGCTTCAACTGGATGTGCACTGTTCAAAACAAGGCCCTCATAATAACCTTTTCGCACCCAATTAGTGCTGCGAAAGACCTATTTGTCTATCGTTTCTCGGGCTTGCTCAAATCCTGTCTTTATCTGGAAGAATCCAAGGTGGTGTACACGTGAAGGACAGGATTGGGACATCTACCTCTCCAGGGATGGTGACACCGTATGGAGTGGGTGTGATCATGACAGCCCAGAGTACATCAAGGACATCTTTCAGGAGGTGGCAACAAAGAGACTGAAGACTTTGGAATTTTGGTTCAGATTTGCATTGCATTGCACATTTCTCCCCCACCTGTGAATATCACCTAATCCATTTGTGAAATCTGGGGTCATTGAAAGGTTGCAAAGCTGGAACGTGGGTTGATTTCGGAGGTTAGTTGTATGACATCTTTGTATATATATATATATAATGTATCTGTATAGTTTTGAATGTGCTCTTATGTTAACAAACCTTATTCAGCACTATTGGATGCAATGCAAGGAGAGCAGACCGGTTTGTCAGAAGAACGATGGCAGCAAAGGGGCGAGACCAGGTGTGCACATGGACTTGGTGGATCCTGGAATGAGAGTCTTTCTTTGTGAGGACAAAGACAACGGCGGGATGTTGCTAGTACGGCCCAGTGATGCCATGTGCGTGAGCTTGAAGAAGTACTATCACGATCCCCGCTTGCAGGCCATGAAGAAGGATGATAAATACTTGTATGTTGTTGATGAGGCAAGGCCAACGGACGGCACGAAACCACGATATGCTCATGCATTGCTCTCCTCCAAAACGAACAAGCGGGCACATGGGAGCGTCTTGGAACGCTGCGATCAGTGAACACCTAAGCTTCGCAGAAAGAATGTGTATTTCTTTCACTGAGCCAGCGTGAGTTTCAATGAAACTGACATGGGGCCTGAGGCTTCGTAAAGCGTGGGGCATCCTTTGACAAGAATGTGAAAGAGTGAGAGCCTGGAGCGGGACTTCACAAACTCTGGACATGTAACAAATGGATACAAATAGGCATACAAATAGTCACTATGTGTCACTATTTAAATCTAACAGGTGTTCAAATCTTTTCTGTAGACATCACATTTCAAACCGAAACGCTGAGCATACAATCTGAGCAAATTGTCCAGAGCTCCGCTTTATGCATACAAGTTTTGTTGAGGTAGGTGAAGAAGTGGCGATTCCTCCATTTAGCAGTAAGACGGAACACGTTTGGAATATCTCTGCACATTGAATTGTTCTTGTTGCACTGCCGAAACCAATTGAGTTTGGGGGGTCCTCTCTTCTCTGTTTGCGTGCAGCCGAAACCATTCAGTTGGAAGATTGTTCAGAGGCAAGCTTAGAAAGAAGAGGCTCAATTTCAATGCATTGCAAACGATTGTTTGCTAGACTGCTGCTGTGTCATGTTTATCTCATTGCAGTTGGCAAAATGCCACAGATTGAATGTGATTCCAACCCAGTTGTAGAAGGCTTCCTCTCCAGTCAGTTTGGGATCGAACACTGAGCACCGATTCAACCTGTGCTCCTGTCCGAGTTAGAGTGATGGGAAAGCAGGGTCGATTTGTGAATGCTATGCCTGGGCTGGAAGAGGCAGACCAAATTGCGCTACTTGCCTGCATGTTCGCTTGAAACGTATTTGAGCAGTGCTCAATGTCCTAATTCAGGGATTAACTGCGCTTGTTGAGATACAAGAGTCCAGACCAGTTTCGACCACCCCTCCTTAAAGATTAAACAATCTGCAAGCAAAAAGTCCATGCAATGCCAATGGTCGCATGTATGTGTGGCTGTTCGTGCTTAATTGCGCTTATTTGTAACTTAGGTGGCCCAAGGCACGTGCTGACAAGAATGAGAAGAAGAGGCCTGCTGCCGCTGGTTCGAAAGCAGCACCAGCTCCGAAAAGGGCAAAGGCGCCGGCTGCTCCAAAAAGTAGGGCGAATTCTGACACAGGTGCTCGCCAGGTGAAAACGAGACGGTACACACAAAAGACCATTGGAGATATTCCGCAATGCCACCTCCAGGAGTGGTTCCGAAGTTGCATTTATGGATACAAGGTTTGCAGTTCTTAAATACAATGTTTTCCAGTTTGACTGCCAGTGTACTCTTAACTCTTGCCCTTCCACACACCCACACACAAAAAGCATACTGCTCAGGCTGGAAAGCGCCGACAATGTCCACGCGAACAAATCCGTGACCGGGAGGATGTCAAAAGAGCATTTCAGCCAAAAAGTGGAAGAGTACAAAACGGTAATCTACAACAACACATGCAAACAGGTAAAAAGAAGCCATTAAGGTTTCATATTTGCAACTATTAGGAATTAATTGTGGCCCTAATGGGAAACTGTGAGCCCCGAAAACACGGAGGAGAGTCCAAGAGTCAAAGAAGAGCACGTGAACGATATATTTGTGCTTTACATACTGGAGGTCTCATTGTGTCACAGGTTCTTTCTGGGATTGGGACAGGGAACCGTTGGTACCGCAGAATCCTTCTTGCAAAGCCGCATCCCAGGCAACTGCTGGCGCTCATCGGGTTCATGTTCGGATGGACGCCGGATTCGGAGCCAGTTGAGCACCGCACTCAGTCCTTTTGTAACAAAGCCAGGGGAGCTGAGAAGAGCCCCTATATTTTGATATGTTTGAAACTTGATTGCAACTTTCCAGAGTTGTTTTGGACTTGTGTCGCTCTGGTTGTCTCGGTTCTGCCTTCTGATGAGGCGAGTTCCTGAAAAAATGAACAAAGCCGCCTGAAAGCATGGGAGCACTGAGAAGAATTGGGTTTATATAATCTGACTTGAAAGTACACTAAAGGTTTGTTTTGCTGCAGTACTAAATCCTGGAGCTGCTAGAGTTGGGAATTCAAGCGAATTGATCGTTTGGCTTTAGCTCAACAATGGCCCAAGGTCGTCAAAGCAGAGTACTTGAGACGGGGCAAGCCGCTCCGCAAGACCCATTGGACGATCACTGAGGTGACACGATACATGCGCGCACACATGTCGTCAGATGATGTCGGCGCACATGGAAGGGAGTTTGAGGACCCCAGTGGACCAGACATGATGTCCCCCATGCCACAGTTTGTCCTTGACCACGAGCAAGAGCTGCAGTCGCGGTGCCTTTGCTTAAAGTTTATTCTTTGTACCATCTCATTTGGAGGCCTAAACGAAGAATCAACAAAGTGGTATTTGTGCAGCAATTAGGCACTAATAGAGCTGGCTTCTAAACATATCAGGAAAACTTCAAAAGAGCTGCCTGCAGTGGGGAAAGGTTGATGCACCACAGAAAGAAGGGTTTATCTCCAGCGAGAAGCTCGCTAGCGAATTCACTGGGTCAGTAGGTTGTGGGATTGTATTTATGGTGTTCCAATCTGTTCAAGCCCCCTGCACTCCAAGTGTGGTGCTCCGTGATCGCAGTTGTCCCTGTTTTGAACCAACCACTACGCCAATCGCCCACCAAGGAAGAAAAAGAGCACCATGCCGCAGCAAGAGCTGCGATCGATCTCAGAGTTCCCCAAAACGGGCTATGAAGGGATGCTCAACCAGACGGCCAGGATGTATGTGATCACCCATCCTGACTTTCCACCTGGGGTGCAGCTCCAGCAGCTATGCAAGAAACTACCTCATCACCCTTTTTTAAGGATCAGGACCTTTCACGGGGGATATCTGTTAGTCTCCTTTTTTATTGTGTGGAACTGAGCAATTAGCGCATAACAGGCTTTAATAGGGTTCCAGCCAGAATGAGTGAATTTTTATGCTAGGTATGCAGTGTGCTGGATCATATGTAGTTTCCATGCATTGTGAGTTACAAGTGAATCTAAGGTATGAGGCAGACAGTGGAGATGAGTGGGAGATCTACTGTTCGAGGGACGGGGATACAATTTGGACAGGCAATGATGAAGATGAAGTGGAATCTTTGCTGTAAACAATCTAGAATCAATAAAATACTTTTGGATTCCTGCGCTGACCAAATTTGTGTATGTATATTAATATTGTATGTATATATATATAAATTAACTCGCAAGCATGGTCTGGCAAATTGTCCCTCTACCCTGGAATGTTGAGGAATACATCTGTGAGCTCTTCCAGAATGCCCAGAAGAATTTGGGTGAAGCCGAGGACGAGGACGCGGGTCCGGGATCATCATCATTGGTGCGACTGCCCAGCAACGACACTTTGCTTGTCTGATTTCCAATTTCGTTAGTTACTGCTATTCACACCTACTCACAAGCATAGGCTTTCTTCAAATAACTGGGATCTTTTTTACATTCTTTGTTGTTCAATCCCATGGACTGGTAACTGAGGATGAGATCTCTGATCTTGAGGAGGAGGAGGCGGAGGAATTGCCGGAGTCGGTTCCAGATTTTGAGGATCTCCAGAAGCATGTCCATGCAGAGAAGCGGGCCTTTCTTGTTGAGAAAGACGACAAGAAGTGGCTTTTGCTGTGCCCTGCAAAGGACCTTCAATATGAGGTACCTTATCCTGACCCGGTCTTGCAGGTGGTGGAACACAATGATGAGTATGCCATTGTGATGGACAGCGCTTCCAAGGCAAAAGGAACCAAAAGCCAATGGGTTCATCAGATCTTTGCTTCGAGGAAGGCAAAGCCAATCACAGAGGAAGAATTCCTGTCACGGTGCCAAAGGTTGCTCGTAGATATTTCAAAAGAATCGAGTAAGCATTCCACTCTGGACTCTGTATACCAATAGACCAATAGATGCTAATATAGGCTACTAGCATGCCCAATCACATGAAAGTGTGATGAACAGTCTCCCTGAAATAAGTTCTTTACAGGGGTTGCTTCTGTTCAATGAACTGTAATGTGCATTGTAAATGTAGATCTTTCTTTTTGCCAGCTGGAGCCAGCTAATCTCAGGCTCCGCAAAAAGTGGCTCTTGCCAGAGCCTATCCATCCCGGGCTTGTAGCCATTGCAGGTCAAGGTCAAGGTGGAGGTCTCTCTCCTTTGGCATCGAGATTGCAACAAAAACTCAAGAGTCAGAGTGGATTATCGCCGAAGAGAGCCCAACCCCCTTCATCACCGATTGCCTCTGAACCACCTGCTGATAATGATGGTGACAAGGATCGGGAGCCAAACACGGAACGTGAGCAAGAGACGAACGCTGAGGAGACGAAGGAGTGACAA